AGTTGGTTTGTTGAATTTCCGGAAATCACCACCATATGGGATAACAGACAGCAACCTTACATTTGTATTTGCCTTTCTGTACACGTTACTTCAATCATGGTAGATAGGCGACTCCTTGGAAAGAATTCCAAGTATTCTGAGGGTTCCTTATATCCAAGTCACACATCGATTTTGGCCCCAGTTTAAAGTTTACGAAAAAAAAAGTAATGAGGAAACCGTGCATGACCCCGCTGAGGGAATGCAAAGACACGTTCTGATCTCAGATGTAATTTACTTGCCGTACAGGATTGACATGGGCAGACTGCAACATTGGGCTTGTTCTGGGCAAGGAGAAACTAGCTGAGGCAACATCACATCACTTCCAGGTTTTCAAATGTTAGCCCAGGTAGAATATATAGTATTTATTAAAAGAATAGAAAATATGCATCATTCTGAATGTGTTATGAACAACTAACAATGAATTTCTCAAAGTCAAACATCTTGATTACACAAATTCAAATCATCGGGTTGTCATAAAAATTCAGCAGCAAAATTATCTTAAATCTACCGGTGTGCAAGAATTTGATCTAGATGAAGACAGAAGATTATGACGTAAACTTAAATCTGACATTATTCACTCCCTGAAACTGTGTGTACAAATTATTAATACATTTTTTAATTTAATTTTGTAGGTACAGACTTTCCCCTCAGACTTTGTGTAAATGTTTAATCTTGTCAGTTCAGCACTATTTGGTTTAAGTCCAACAAGCAACAGCGTAGGTTAAGCCTAGCCAGCCATGTTGACGGCATGATGAACTGGGTGGAAAACTGCTCATCTGGTCTTCAGAAGCAAAAAGGAGAAGAGGCCGTTCATACTCTACACTAAAGGACATTATTGAGTTAGAGACTGGTCTGAATGGAAAAGAACTTATAGAAACAATGTATGACAGAAAACGCTGGAAGCTGAACTACGTACAAATGTAACTTAATACTTACTCATTAGAGTATGATTGACGTATGTGTTTATAAGAAGCAACAAATTGTGTTGGCATTGCCAGCTACTAGTGCAGACAGCACAAGTCCACTGCAGTTTCCACATAAAACTTTTGATACAGTCACTAGCACTCTATGAAGTCCTAGGAGAAAATTGTAATCTGCAGTAAGAAGTTAGTAATGACTGCAGTTAAATTGCCCCTACTTCCCCCAGGACTGGCCTCCGAGTGCACGGCGCGATTAGGTGCCAAGGTGATCAATAAAAAGGCTTTTATCATTAGTGCAGACCCTACGGCCATGTTTACATTAAGATCGCCTGGTCTGATTGCTGTATGAGGGCGTGAAGGGGTTTTTCAGGATGCTTAACTGTCAGTATTTGACCCTGTAAATAGTTTCATCATCTTAAATCAATTCTAAAAATTTTTTCTTAGGTATGCAACCGTAGTATTAAGGATGTTTTATAGATAGCCATACAACCTTATTTTATGGTTTGATGGTGGGTTTTGTAGTTAGACACTTACATCAGGTTCCTAACATCTATATGATAGATCACACTCAAGAGTAACATGTAGCACCACAGCATATATAATCATGGCTTAAATCTATTGATTCAATCCTTTTTTCTATCATCTGCAATATTGGTGTCTTGGTGTACTCAGTTTTATGGTGTAAATATTTTAGGCCAAAATTATAACCTCAAGTTTTTCAAGCTTCCCTCTGCATATGAGAGGTTCGCTTGCCATTTTCAAATTGGTGACTGGCCTTGCCCAACATTACACACTCCCCTGCACAGTTTCAAACAGCCATAGTGTACCGCGTGCGTCAGAACAGTAATAGCCCAAGCTACGAGCGCTCAGGTATTATGAGATGGATATTACCCCATTGGAGTAGTGTAATGAGGCGAGGACCCTTAAGATTGAGACGTCTTATTCTGGCACGAAGAACGGGCCAAGACATCTTGATTCTGGGCCACATCAATTTAATCAATTGGTTCTCGGAATCACCCTTTTCTAATTTTTCTGGAAATAAAAAAAAACAGATTAGGTTTAGTAAATTTGCAGTCTCCCTTCTACTAATTTTCATTTTGGCACGTTTTAAAAATGGAAAATACTTGCTTTTGCCTGCATCTTATAGTTGTTTCCATTTTATTATTGCAGTAAAGTTATTTGTTTTGATCCAGTTTGTAGTTTTCAGAGGACATCATCCACAAAATGGAAATAATCTTGGCCTAATACGGTCAACTATCTTTCATATATCACACCAAACGGTATTGAACTTTGGGTCATAAACTGCATTTTGAAGCGTGCCATGTTTCTGACATTACATGAACAGGTACATGTGATATACATGGTAATTTTCCATGCGTGCTGTGGCACATAAATGTTTGTAAGGGTCATTGCACATGCTGCAGTATTCTGCACATAACGTTGGGCAGAAAGGTCTGTTAGGGTTCACCAAAATGAGCAGTTCATTGTGAATTTCAACTTTTTTTTAAGGTAGAGGGCTTAATTTTCATTAGAGGAGGGAAGATGTCGTATTGAAATATAATTGGTAAAACTTGACGTTTTTTACATGTGAAATGAAGAATTGTCTTCCTCACATTTTATACCATTTTGTCATTAAAATGTCATAATTTAACACTTTTCCAAAGTCAAGGTTACATTAATTTTGTTCTGACCAAAATATATTTAATTCGTGAATGACCATCCCTGTTGCCACCACTCCACAAGCACTAATGACCCTCCCCTTGTCCCTGGGGACTTGTCAGTAATCTAACAGAGTGGAGAAGACTTTCCAATAGGGGAGGTTACCCACCCGTGAAGGCCACACACCCCGACACTGGTCCTACATGATTTATGATTTTTAGACGCCTCAATCATTGGAACATCAACGTTCCTAACCGAACAGGTAAAGGCAGCTTAGCACCTATGGGTCCTTGCTGGCATATATTCTATGCTGCTATTTAAGAATGGTACATGAAGACGTTGCTGTCTTGATTGACAACAGGAGCTCAAACGGAACTGGAAGGCTCAGCTGTTGATGAACGAGTATGCTCGCTTTATTTCCCCCTATGGGGGCTTGCCAGTCTAGTTGATGTAATAGGTTTCACAGACCGCAGCCAGAGTGTTGTATGAGGCTGGATGGAGCCACGAGTGCAATCAATAACCGAGTAGGCCCAAAGTTATAGCTCCTATGGGGCCCTGCTGGCTACTGTTCTACTGTAGGATAGCGGGACAGCTTGCTTGTGGTCGGGAGTGGCTGGTTTTGTTGTTGTCGTGAATGTGGTTGCCAGGATGCAGCTATAGTTTGGGTGGCAGGACAAGGTAAGGGCACGACAGTTCCTAGTTTCTCAAGAAATGTCTGAAGTTTGTCTGCATTTTGCTATACTGGCAAGGATTTTCTTAAATGCAACACAACAGAATTCCCTAACTCGGCATTCCCTGTCCTTGGTGCTGAAAAGCAGGAGAGTCTGTTCAAACTTGTCATTCTGCTATAACTTTTTATTGCAGGCACAAAAACCTTTCAATTAACTCAAAGCATCTTCGATTTCCAGCTAGCTTGTTGTGATTTGCTCAAATTTCTTGTCCAAATTTTCTTCATCAAATCATTTTAGTTCAACTGATGTTGCTTGGTTTCTTGACATGAGAGATGTCATGGTCCCCAGAACTGTATTTAAGAACAGCTTGTGAGGCTGAATTCTGGGGTTGTATTATAAATTATGGGGTCAAGGAAAGTGTCTTCAGAGTTTGTGCACAATTTTGCAACCCCATTACACTACACCCTTTGATTATCATGAAAAATTAATGGTGGACCTGCCCAGAGCAAGTGTTGCTGTGCTGTTAATTGATGTTCTGGCTCTTATCACTACATTTTTTTCTCATTTGACAGAAAATGAGAAACAGGTCAGGATTGAGCAGATTTTTTGTGTCCTCGAAAGTACATTTTAACTAAATTTTTTCTCTCTAGATTCATACCTGTTTGTCTGTGTGTGTGTGTGCATGTGTCTGTGCATATATAATGTGTGTGTGCATATGTGTGCCTGTTTGTCTGTGTATGTGTGTGTGTGTGAGAGAGAGAGAGAGAGAGAGAGAGAGAGAGAGAGAGTGTTTACATGTGTGTGTTTGAGTGTGTGTGTATGTGTCCGTGCATTTTGTGTGTTTATACACACAAAATGCACAGACAAGTTCTTGATATGCCATAGCACACAGGCCATTACGTTTGTCTATCTTAACTAAGATCTTATGAATGACAAGTTCAGGCAGAGCCATTCCAAGAAGCCTCCTGAGTGGAAAAGTCTTGGGTACCAATTGAAGCTTCCCTGAGAAATGCGAGGAAGATGTTTATCTTGATAGTACCGGTTCATCAATTGGAGGTGGTTTCCCCAAACACCACTATTGATTGCCCAGACTTGGCAGGAGTCCAAACTCTAACCAGACAGAAAGGCCCAGGTCACTGTTTGCCACACTGTTATCTCAGTAACCATCCAGTGTAGCCACTGTAGGGAGGGGTCGGGTTACATGGTATGTCTGTGGTGTAGCAGTTTTCCTGGTATGTGGCAATCTCACCCAGGATGGTGCAGGAAGAAGGTTGTTACTTCTGTATTGGCTCAGGGAAATTACATTGCAACAATTCCACTGGCTACATTATTGACAAATATTATGCTGGACGTTTCTGGCGAAGTACCCTGTCATTTAGGGTGACAGTAGTAGATTATAATTGCTACACCGCTGATGTTGTTACATGCAGTTATTTGGACACAAGGTTACAGAGGCCGACTGAGCCAGAATTTTGTAACAATGTTAGAACTGTGGCAGATTGGTGGACTGTCCAGATGCAGAGACCATTACAGTTGTCTTTAAGCATAGTAGGTTCCTGTTTCAGACCATACAAAGTTCATTACAATCATGTGCACCATCATCACATGCAATGGGCTTACAAATTTTATGCAGCCAAATTCTTAACCTTAAAATTTAATTTTACATGTGTCAGTGTCACTTGTTTTAAATTTCTGTACTCGTTTCTTGCAGAACAACAGAAATACAAGAAGTCTTCTGCCGGTTTCACCATGTTGTCATGGAAACCTGATGTGACAAAGACGTCGCCATGGTAACTGTGTAGCCGCCGGTCTGGTGCCTCGGACGACAGTTCCCCCCGCCCCCCCGCCGTGTGTGGACCGCCCCCCGCCGTGTGTGGACCGCCCCAAACTCGCGCCCGCCGGTCGTCATGAATGTACTGTACGTGGTGGGCGTGTCGGATAGCTGCGTCTCCATGTTGTCCCTTGTGCTGTTCATAGGTGCCTGTTTTTTTCTGTTTACATTTAGACAGAGTCAAGGACTCGGAATGTAGTTATTGTTGGTCTGAAAATACCCAATTTTGAAAACAATTCCCTTCTAAAATTGTGCAATGTGGTAAATGCAACCATGTGTTGAAATCTTGTAGACACATGTCCTAAGCATATTCCAGTTGTTTTTGTGCTTCATCAATTTTACGACGGAATTATCACGTTCATAATTTGATTGTTAAAAAGAAAAGAATTGAGAATACATGTGATGCCAAAAAACAGAAAAGGCACAGGAATGCCGTTATATCATGCACTTGACAGGTTGATTTGTTGTAAAGGGACATAGCCCTAATAACTCGCTCAACGTCCAGGAAACATTTTACAACGTTGTTGTCCAGTTCTAACATTCATAAATCCTTGTGGTCTATTTCAATTTGCAGTAAAAACCTACCGGATGTCTTGACTTCATCTTCAATAACGACTGGCTTAACATCTAGGAAACATTTTACAACGTTGCCACCAAGTTCTAACATCAAAGATCATGTTCAAGTTTTATTAGAAAAGGGACTTGCATGCCTGGTTTGACCAAATTGCACCCTACTTACAATATGCATTACTGATGTGTACATGTGATATTTGTGGTTTATTCCAACTGTATTCCAACTGTAGTAAAAAGTTAACGGAGGTCTTCAATAATGACTCACTTAACGTCTAGGAAACATTTTACAATGTTGCCATTAAGTTCTTACATCAAAGATACTTGTAGTTTATTCCAATTTGTAGTAAAAAGCTTCATCTTCAGTTTCAAAATGACTCCCTTAACCTCCAGGAAACATTGTCGTCAAGTTCTAACATCAAAGATACTTGAATGTGGTTTAGTCCAATTTGTAGGAAAAAGCTACTAACAATGACTAGCTTAACGTCCAGGTATCAAGTTCTATTAAAATTAAAGATACATGTACTTGTGGGTTATTCTCACTGATTTGTGGTAAAAACTAACAGAATCTGATGTCTTGGCTCCATCTCCAGGTGCCTTCACGGTGATGATGGTCCTGTTCCATCACTACAAACCCAAGACGGAGAAAGAGCTGGAGGAGGAGAAGAGGAGGGCGAAAGGTCGGCAGGACAGCCTGTGCACCGCGTTCGAGCTTCTCCGCGCGGACATGTCGCACTTCGACGCCATTGAGGACAAGTTCAGCAACTACGAGCAGGTCACGAAGGCCATGAAGGCGGCCGGGCTCGTCTGCTGTAACCTGATCATCGGCGTGGATTTCACCGCGAGTAACGAGTGGCAGGGTCGGAGGACGTTCGGGGGGAAGTGCTTACATGCCCTGTCGGGGAAGAAAATCTACAACCCTTACCAGAAAGTCATCTCCACTATCGGGCAGACCCTGCAGCCGCTTGACGAGGACAACCTGATTCCGGTCTTCGGGTTCGGGGATTCTCGTACGAAGGATAAGGAGGTGTTCCCCTTCAGGCCGGACGGTTCGCCCTGCCAGGGACACGACCAGGTGCTGATTCACTACGGCGCGATCGTGAAGGAAGTCGCGCTCAGCGGGCCGACGAGCTTCGCGCCCCTGATCCACAAGGCCATCGACATCGTCCAGCAGCAGAAGGGCTACCACATCCTGCTGATCATCGCCGACGGGCAGGTCAAGGACGAGGGACCCACGAGGGACGCCATCGTCGAGGCTTCGAACTTTGCCCTCAGCATCATCATGGTGGGGGTCGGGGACGGCCCTTGGGGGGTGATGAAGGAGTTCGACGACCGGCTGCCGGAGAGGAAGTTCGACAACTTCCAGTTCGTGGACTACCACACGGCGGTGAAGAGGACTCGGTACCCGAGCGCAGCCTTCGCGCTGCACTGCCTGATGGAGGTTCCGGACCAGTACAAGGCCATCTCCAGGCTGGGGTACCTCGACTGCAAACATGTGGACGCCGGCTGACTGCTGCGGCCACCAGAGGATTACAAACTTAACCTTCAGCCTGCAAGGAAGATTGTTTGGAACCAAATTTGTATTGAAGACTGGGTTAGGACACACCCAGTGTGTCTTTACGGTATCTTTTGGCACCCGATATCAGCCATGCTGCCTGGGTGGCCAATGTATTGCCTCGTTGCAATATTGAATTTTAAAAAATAGGCCACACCGAGTTATTTTCTTGCAAGGATCTGTTTGTTATCTGTACTAAAGATAGCAACGTCACAGCAGTTTTGGTTGGAGGATTCTCTCCACAGTTAGCAATATAACTGGAAAACAAACCTTAGGGTTCTCTTAATTTTTTAACAGTTCCATGGCTGTTACAAGTCAAAGCATAAGAGAGGGAGAGAAAGATATTCAATAAGACTGATAAACTTAGAAATTATAAACTAATGGATTTCCTCTAGATATTTGACAATCTAAAAAGTACATTGTTTATGTAAGGAAGGTTTTTTAAAAATCTGAATATCTTGAAATAGATATTCAGAAGCAGATGACAATGTAAGCCTAGGCCACACCAAATTATTTTCTTCGTTCCTGGATGCTTTTTTTTTAAGCTTGATTTTTCAGTATGGCAAAATCAACCAAGAAGTTAATTAGCTGGACTACAAACAGTCAGGCAAGTCACAGCACAAGCTGTGATGACACTAACATTTTCTGTTGGTTCTCTGAATTTTTGAAAGAACAATTTGGTCATGATAGAAACACTGAGGGCTAGGAGGAAAACTACAGTCTCAGACTATCTTCACTCCCTGAAACTGTTAAGGCAAGGTACAGACTTTCCCCTCATATTGTATTCTGTTTTGGATTCGTCTATATTACATTTTTTAAACTAAGAAAATCATCAGAAATCAATGAAATTGGTGTGGTCTCAGTTTCTTTAATTTTTTTAAGTGTTATAAGGATTGTTACATGCTGATAACATATTTAAGAGTATTTTGTATCGTTATATGGTATTTTCTTAGATTCTGACAATCAAAAAGCAATATTTGTTCAAATTCTGGAATATAAGATTTAAATATATTATCAAGGCGTAAAATGTTAAGACTTAAGGAATATTGTACAGTGGTACTGTGGTATCAGGTGATTTGGAGGAACGTTTTGTACTACTTGTTAATATTTTGCTCAAATTTCATTGACTGAAATTTAAGCAAAAAAGTACCAATTTGAGCATGATTGATTACATGTAACGTTACATTCAATGACACAGGACTCTACTGGTGAATATTGTATCACATAAACTTTGAGGCTGCAAGAACAATATGCCAATTACTTTGTATGACAATCATTAACCTCTACAGTAGAGTTAGTATGCTGAACCCTGAGTATGGATCATGTTGTACAACTTACAACACTTTTGTTGACTTCAATGAAAGAGCCAGAAAAAGAGGACAATGCAGTTCACAGTTCACAAGATAACTGACATTTACCAGCAGAGGTTTCAGTAACTACCAGTGTGTTTGAAGAAAAAGATGACTGCCTTATTTATTAGTTGTTGCTGCTATATCATCAACATCATATATTTCTGATACATGCACATTTTACCAGCTGCACAGAGGGGGCTGGTAGGAACAACTGTGGCCAAACTCTTTTTCCAAACCTCTAAATTTGCGCCAAAACTTTCCACGATGTTCAGAGTCATCTAAACTGCTGCTGTCATAGAAACTTCATTTTCAAAAAATTTAATGCATTTCATCCCACCATATGAAAACCCACTGGGAAAGGATGCTGCTATTTGTGTATTCTTTATTTCCTTCAATTAAGATTATGGCTCACGAGCAGGAGATATTCTGTCATACTTTATGTAAACCCTGCACTTTATACTGCCTAAGATTTGATGGTAAAAATTAAGAGGGTTTTTATGAAGGTGTACTGTTTACCTCAGTATTTTATTGCCTTAGATTTGTGTTGTATTTTTTGCTTGTAAGATATTTTTTAGAAAAATGATGCTGTGTTTAGTGCAGAAGTAACGTTAATATATGAAAATTTATTGAGCTTTATTCTATGCAAAGGTGTTTTTACCATCTATGCACAAACTATTTATGTGCGATTTTCCTGTTGGAATGTTAACTTTTGATGTGCTGTTGGATTCGAGGTGTGTAAAACTGATAAAGTGTCCAGAGGTTTTGTTTGTGTTTGTTTATTTGCTCCTGTGTGTCTGTTGTTATTTGAATAGAGTCAAAGGAAGTGAGGGGGAAATGGTGTAACCACAGACTGACAGGAAGGTCAAGTTGAAGGTAAAAATGGCAGTCTCTCTGCAGGCTGGAAGGAAGTAAATGGTACAAAAGTCCCCTCATTTTCAGACTTCATCAGTAAAATTTCCCGCTATAACATTATTCTTGTCGATTGCTTTATGGAGGCCAGTGAAAAAAAAAATCATATAACATCTGTGTCCATAATATCACCAGGGTCAATAATATCGCCACCTTCAGAAATAGTCTGCTTTAAGATATTTTCCCTACGTATGTACATTTTGATGTGTGAAGGAGTGCATACCAAAAGTATGTTGCAGTAAAAAATATCTTACTTTAAAGCACACTATTTCTCAAGGTGGCGATATTATGGACCCGGGTGATATTATGCACACGGATGTTAACATAAAACTTTAAGTTGTTTTTAAGGCCATAGCTAGTTAACTGGAGCGTTCGTAGAAGCAACTCACATGCATTATGGTAATCATACACACACCTAACTTCACCAAGACACCTGAAGTTTAATAATAGCCATTCTACTGATTTCAGTAGAATGAAATTAACATTTACCAGAATACAGGAATAAAACGAAAGTTCATTTAATCCTGTACTGTAGAATTCCATTTATTACACATGCCTTAGACAAATCGTTTCCTTTCATGACTTGTTATTCAGGGGTGCCAAAGAATTTATCAGAATTTTACGGAATACATACGATCCTTACTAGGAAACATGCGAAGCTTTCGGAATACATGCGATCCATTACTAGAAACATACGAAGTTTACGGAATACATACGATCCATACTAGAAACATACGAATCTTACGGAATATAACAAAGTTATACGATCCATTACAAAGAATACATACGATCCTTGCTAATTTAGTGCCTTGCACCACAATCACGTGACATCGGCAGCAAATTCGGACTTATATAGCGATGTTCTCCCTACAATCAAGGAGGTTAAACCTCCTTGCACCCCTGTTTAATATTGGTTTCGACAAGGTTTAAACCTCCTTGGTTTCGAGAAGCCAGCAAAGTTCCTGTCCTTGGTGCTGAACTAGTTTCCTTTCCCGGTGCATGCTGGGTAATAGAACGTCCAACATGGCGGCGCCCGTGTGAATGAAAGTTCGGTACCTGATCACTTTCACTTTCCACGCTTCAATCAAGGTAAGACTTGTCTTGTCACCGACATATTTCAGGTCACAAGTATATTTGGTCCTTCCCAGATTTATGAAAGTGAGGAGTTGAGTTTTTACATGAAGTATTTGAGGTTTTCTGTGCTGAGATTTCCAGTGTGCAAAATAAAGCCCTCCACGCCTCCTATCAAACCGTGCCAAAAAATTAACAACTAAAAGCGAGCTAGTGTTAGGGTCAGGCACGATTCTGGATAGTCTCCGCATGTCTAAGAATTATCAATGTAGATTTTGCCCAGGTACGGTTCTGGAAACAACACATAGCCTTGGTCTTGGTGCCAGACTAGCCGCGGCGACTGTTGCAGGGCTTCTCTTGCTTGCAGTCTTTTACATTTATTAGCCCTTAGGCTAGCAAGAGAAGCCCTGCAACATCCGCCGCGGCTAGGCCATTATGCAGGCTAGCTCCAGGCTATATAGCTAGCCTGGGTGCCAGACTTGCCATACTGGACTTGCCAGGGCCAGTATATATAATAAGCTCAGCTCCAGGGGCAACATGTCCCCAAGGAAATTTTACCGGTGCTGGCCTGTGTATATGCCCTGGGATTGTCTGGCATCTGGGATTGGCTGGGCTTTGAGCTAGAAAGACGAAAAAGTAGGCGGCACCCACCAGTCGTCATAAGCGATTTCGACTTCGCAGATGACATAGCACTTTTAGCAGAGAAAATAGCACAGGCACAAGAACTCCTATGCCGTATGGAAAACGAAGCTGCTAAAGTCGGGCTCCAGCTAAACGCCGGCAAAACAAAACTTATGGCGTTTAATCAGAAAGATCCAGTCATTATTAAAACTAAAAGTGGCGACACTGTCGAAGTAGTTAAGAACTTTAAATATCTTGGATCCTGGATGAAAGACGCAGAAACAGATTTTGAGGTCAGAAAAGCATTAGCGTGGAAAAGCTGTCATAAGCTAAGCAAGATTTGGAAGTCTAATCTACCACGTAAAATCAAACAAAGGCTGTTTATTGCCACAGTTGAGTCCATTCTCTTATATGGATCCGAAACGTGGTCCCTGACCAAATCACTCGAAAAAAGGCTGAACGGCTGTTATACCCGAATGTTACGAATGTGCCTAAACATTCCATGGCAACTCAAACTTACAAACCAACAGTTGTACCAGGATCTACCTGCTGTCACAGACAAAATACGAGAACGCAGGATGAAAATCGCCGGTCACTGCATTAGACACCCGGACATCCTGGCATCAAGTCTCATTCTGTGGGAACCGTTAAAAGGAAAACGGAGCAGAGGGAGACCCAGAGTAACATTCCTGGATAATCTGCGCAAAGACACCAACTTACAGGACACCAGGGAGATAAAGAAGGCCATGGAGGACAAAGTGCTTTGGAGACAACTCTCAGGATTGGTTCGAGCGGGAGCTCGAACTAAGTAAGTAAGTAAGTGTCTGGCATCTAGGCTAAATAAACAACCCCCAGGTTCCTCCTGGTTTTAAAATAGGTTACAGCTCAGCCAGTATGCAAATACTTACAGTTATTATGATAACAAGGACATTATACAATGTATAATGTCCTTGATAATAAGAACTAAATAAGAAAACCTGGAAACACTTGGTAACATGTGAATATGTGGAAATTGCACGTATATCACATTGTACTAAAATATTTTAATGAAAAAAAGGGAAATAAACCTTTTGATTGAATTGCGGCAGCCTATTCAGTATCTCCCCACAGTTGATCAGCATGATTTATCATGCACCCATAATCCCCATCCTTAATTGACTGAAGCTTGTTGTAATCTGTATCTGACATGCATGGGCAGACTTGTGCACTAATTAACATGATAAATGTTTAGATACATATTCACTTGCAGGCTCAGCACTTGTTACATGCAAGGCAGGGCAAGACTGGTTTGTTATAATTAATATAAATCATAGTTGGAAAAGTTATTAAAGAAAATTAAGGGAAAACTAAATGTCAGTTTTATTTCAACTTGTTGGTGATAAATAAGTGTCAGATATGCACGCACAGATGGAGAGAGAGAGAAATTAAAAGTACATCTTCTCTCATGATTGGTTCGTTGAACATATTCTGATGTTGTGATTGGTTATTACAAATCCTCCTTCCATCTAATTGGCTGATTGCAGCCTCCTGCAGCCTCTGATTGGTTGACAAAAAATCTCCCAGCAGCACCCAGTTATCCTTTTATCATTTGCAAACAGAGACCAACAGCTTTCCTGAGCACGTAGAAGACCATACACACTACCAGGTTCACATCTTCTATTGTTGTCTGTCTGCATATGTCTATATATAGAGTATCCTCCAGAATGTGAACTTGAATTGCCGTCTTCATCACATCTGTCGAGTTAGTACTGTAACATCCATGTCCATAATATCACCAGGGTCCATAATATCACCACCTTGAGAAACAACTTGTCCTTAAAGATATTTTTACTGCAACATAGTTTTGGTATGCACTCCTTCACACATTAAATGTACATACCTAGGGTATGTTGCAGTAAATATATCTTTAAGCACACTATTTCTCAAGGTGGTGATATTATGGACTATGGTGATATTATGGACACGGATGTTACTCCTTTGATATGATACTTGAGAGAAAATTGAATTTATATTGATCAAACGCTTCTTGATTTTTTCAGCTACAGGTGGTTTGGACATCCTTTGACCAAAGAGCAGATTCTTCCTTTTCTGTCCGTGTTGCCAGGAAACGTATTGAGAATGAGTGAGGTGAGTCACAGAGTCCTTCATCTTCTAAATGTGATTATCCTTTCATGTCAGATCCATCTGTTACATCGCTTGGTTTGATCTGTGTTAGAGATCTCTCTGTGTTTCTCTGTACTCTTCAGTAGTCTGTAGGATTGATCAAAGGGACAGGCCACTAACTATGGCAGAGTGTCTAAATTGGAGGGGAGCATCAGAAATAGTGAGAGTGGCTCTGAAAATTAATGATCCTTTTTCCAACAAAACTTGTAACCTCATCCCAAGCGAGAGTAACGGTAAACATGGTTCTGAAAATTAATCTGCATCATTTTTCCTAATCAAAATAAACCTTGTAGCTCCATCCCAAGGGAGTTAAATATTGTCTTATTTACCTGTCCAACCTGTCCAGAACAGGTGTTAAAAGTGTCTAGAACAGATGATGGTGTGTAAAGTAACCCTTGTGAAACACCAGGTGGACATGGCAGCTAGACAAGTCATAAGGAAATGAGTTTAGGGATTCATATATCAATCCTGGCCCACAAAGCATTTGTTGAGGTTTCTAAACCACTGCGACAATCTACAACTGGAAAATGGCCAACGTTTGCAAAGTACGCTGCCCGCGTTCCTTTCTCCGTAAAACGCCGAGCGCCATTCGTATTTCCCAGGGTTCCAAGCTGTGGGGAGGGCGGTTCACCGGCGCAAACGACCCGGTGATGGAGAAGTTCAACGCCTCGATCGGGTTCGATCGGCGCATGTGGGAGGCGGACATCAAGGGCAGCCAGGCGTATGTCCGCGCGCTCGGCAAGGTCGGGCTCGTCACCAAGGACGAAATGGAGGAGATCTACGAGGGACTGGGCAAGGTAAGGGGGAGGGGGAGGGGGGGGGCAGGTGTTCATACGACCTTCAGAAAGTTTGACAAGTGGAAGTTGAACACAAAATGTCATGGTTAAGCATATGATTAGGTTTGGCTGACATACTTAATGATGTGCACCCGAGCGTTGTTCTATGAACATGAATCTTTAGGCCAGGTACATCACCTGTACACCTGCCTGTACTCCTAAAAATGAATTTTGTGAGTGAAAAGTATTTGGATCCCTGACACAAGCATTCTATCCTTGCGCCCCCCTCCCCCCACAGGTTGGTATAGAGTGGCAGAACGGGACGTTCCAGATCCAGCCGAGCGACGAAGACATCCACACTGCTAACGAGCGCCGGCTCAAGGTGGGAGTATTAATCACAACTTCATACACAAGAGATTTTAAAAAGTGTAAATTTTTACCTAAATGCATGTAATTTTTTTGTGCAAGTAATTTTTTTGCAATATGACCCAACATTAGTTCAAAGCTATTACTAATGTAGTGAGATATTGTAAAAATCTATGTATGTACTTAATAAAAAAAAAATCGGTGTACATGTAGGGTTGGTGAAACAACCTGAAGTTCTGAAAGGCAACCTAATTTTTGCCCAGTGAAAAAGTTTTTTTTTACAGTAAATAAAATGAAGAAAACAAGACTCTCCCCCTTTCATATATTAGGAGCTGATCGGACCTGCTGCGGGAAAGCTCCACACCGGCCGCAGTCGTAACGACCAGTGTGCGACGGACATGCGGATCTGGCTGCGGGAGGCGCTGAGAACGCTGAGGGGATACCTGCTGGACTTCATCCACGTCTTCCTGGAGAGGGCCAAAAGGTCAGTGGGGGTCAGGGGTGAAAGGTCAGAGTTACACCTGGGCCAAAAGGTCAGTGGGTGTCAAGGGTCAAAGTTACATCAAAGAGAGATGCCAGGGCAAACCTGACTTAGAAATCAGCAACTGTATATTTGTCATAGTTAGCCTGAAAAAGGTCTTGAAAGGATTTTCATAGTCACTGAGTGATGAAACGTGGATGCTACTCAAAACGTCTGACAGTTTTCAAAATCTATCCAATCGCTTCAGTAACAATTTCTTGAATGTTTATCTCATTATCTGGATGTCATACCTTCATTGATGGATTTAACTTCAACTTGGCAGAGGTTTGGAGCTCTCTGTCTGCTGCTTTGTTTTAATAAAAGAACTTTTGATTTTAACGATTTCATTTTTTCTCCCCCATAGAGAGACTGACATCATCATGCCAGGCTACACCCACCTGCAGAGAGCTCAGCCAATCAGGTGGAGCCACTGGTTGCTAAGGTAACCTCACCTTTGACCTCCTGTGCTTCTTCCAGCATTGTCTGACTCTTGATGATTGAAGTTTTTGATGATACATTAAATATATAACACATGTAGTAAAATCCTTCCATGTACAATGATATTACAACTGTTACAATACATAACAAAACGAAAACAGTCATAGCGTAGGTGTCTGCTCATTCTAGTTGTTTAAGTCTCTTATAACAAGACAATATTGGGGCCCATTGATAATGATTAAGTTTTGCAAGGTTGTGATGATCCAGCTTTGTCATGAATACATTCTGAGCGCTGATCCTTTTTTCTGTGGTACTGGAAGAGTCGCAAAGCAGTGTGTGTAAAGGGGCGAAGCCTGCCATCTCAGATTGCAGGTGATTGCAGATGATTTATGTCTATGTTGTCCCTGGTTCCAGCCACGCCTGTGCCCTGCAGAGAGATGCTCAGAGACTGGACGAGATGGCAGTCAGGGTCAACGAACTCCCTCTGGGAAGGTAGAGACAGTTTTAGCTGTACATGGTCATTATTCAGATCCCCTGTATGTGGTGTACTTCTTTTTTACATTACGTAAGTTTTACCCAAAAAGCAGTTACTCAAGCAACTGGATATGATTTTGGAAACGGTCAGACGTTTCAGCTAGTATCCACTAGCTTTCGTCAGTGACTGGAAAGCTAGTGGATGCTACCTGAAACGTCTGACCGTTTCCAAAATCATATCCAGTTGCTTGAGTATTGCTTTTTGGCGTATCATATTACCTGGATGTCTAACCTTCATCAACGTACGTATGTTGTACTTTTGTTTGTAAAAATTCAATGAAAAGATTATATTTTTCAGTGGAGCTCTGGCAGGAAACCCCTTCAATGTGGACAGGCAGTTCCTGGCTAAGGGTGAGTTTTAGTTACTTCTGCATGTTTTAGTAGCTTCATTTCTGTCACTTCATTGAAAACAGCCGAGACTTGTACATGTAGCTTCTTTGGTATTAAACTGTGCCTTCTTCATTCTACAAGAGCCAATGAAAAAATGGTTTGCACTCTATTCTTGTATGATTGTTGTTAACATCCTTCTGTCTCTGTTGTTTGAGTGCACTGTAACATTAGTTATTGTTGATGTTCTCCCCACAGAGCTTGGATTTGGCGCTGTGAGTTTGAACAGTCTGGATGCCACCAGTGGGAGAGACTTTGTCGGTGGGTAGCAGTTATTTTTCCAAGGAAGCATTTGTATGACATCTACACATACTTTCACCATATATAAACAAGTAAAGAAGTATGATAGGCAGTCCAATAGCCTTTTTTTAAGGCTGTAGGGGCAATGGGTTGTTAATCCACTGTATCTAAGACACGGTATTGGAAGGCAGAGCCCATCCCTCTGCTTACACTACCTTTTAGTTTTACCTCCTAAAACCAAAGTCAGGTACCTATTTTACACCTGGATGAAGTGAGGAGAGTCAAGTTACACTGTAAGTGCCTTTCCCAAAGGCGTTAGATCAGTGTCAGGATTCAAACCCTGCTGTTTCGCCACAAACCCCACGAGAAAATAAGTATAGAAAATGATTTTATCAAGTGCCCTTCAGCATTTTGCTCATGACTATATATTTCTCTCTGTCTGTTTAGTTGAGTTCCTGTTCTGGGCGTCTCTGACGGCGACCCACCTGAGTAAGTGGGCGGAGGACCTCATCATCTACAGCAGCAAGGAGTTCAGCTTCATCTCCCTGTCAGACGCTTACAGGTCAGGGGTCAAGGGCACGACCTTCATCCTCCTGTTTCTTATTTGGACTCTTGAAAATTTCTAGCTGTCAGAGTTTTAAGAATCAGGCTGCTCAGTTGTCTGGTTGGTTTGTTGGTGATCTTATGTCTGCAAGGCTTCTTTTCAGTTGCCTACAGGTCAGGGGTCAAGGTTATGACCTTCCTCCACTGGTTTCTTGTTTTTTATTAAATCAGAAGAACAGATTAATACAGAACAAAATGGGGAAGTACTCAAGTTGAATGAGTTTCTTGTTTAGATTGGAATCTAGTAATTTCTAGCAGTCAGACTCGACTGGTTTGTTTGTTGGTGATTTTTTTCTACAACTTGAAGGTTTTCTCTGAAGGTTGACCTTGTTTCTGACCTTGCTGATGTGCCCCCCTCCCCCCTTCAGCACTGGCAGCAGCCTGATGCCACAGAAGAAGAACCCGGATAGTCTGGAGCTGATCAGAGGGAAGGCAGGCCGAGTGTTCGGGCATGTGAGTCTAGCAGGGTTTCCTTGGCAATGCATGAACTACTGTGCTCTGGCCTAAGGTTAATAATAATAACATGGTTTTCTGTGGGTAGATTTTAGAATGTTGTAGTCTCCTGTGCACTTGTTTCATGATGTCATGACTTGAAGTGCTCAGGATTCATGATGTCAGAGCTTTTAGTGGTAAGAATTCTTTGTCATGATTTGTGATGCACACAATTTGTAATGACGTCATAGTTTCCTGTCCTCAGGATGGTTGGTGATATTTTTCCATGGTCATAGAGCACCACACTCCTGATGTCATGGCTTTCAGTGCACCAAATTTATGATGTCATGGCTTCCAGTGCTCAGGTTTCATGATGTCATGACTTCCAGTGCTCATGTTTCATATTGTCATGGCTTCCAGTGCTCATGTTTCATGCTGTCATGGCTTTCAGTGCTCAGGTTTCACGATGTCATGGCTTTCAGTGGTCATGTTTCAAGTTGTCATGGCTTCCAGTGCTCAGGTTTCATGATGACCTTGAAGGGGCTGCCCAGCACCTACAACAAGGACCTTCAGGAGGACAAGGAGGGGATGTTCGACGCGTACGACACCATGACGGGCGTGTTGCTCGTGGCAACGGGCGTGCTGTCCACCCTGGAGGTCAACAAGGTCGCGGCCAAGGCTGCGCTGAGCCCCGACATGCTGGCCACCGACATCGCCTACTACCTGGTCCGCAAGGGGGTGAGTATAGCTAGGTACACTTTGCGGGTGATCTGAACTTGGTAGTGCTAGCAACAGCTTATTTCAAGTTCAAGACCAGGGTACAAGGTAACTTTGCTATTATCTACTATTGTAGTAGTCAGGAGTAGAATTGCATTTATTGTCACTATGAAAGATTACTGAATCTTTCATGGTGAAGGAAAGTATTACCTCTTAATCAAGAAAATGATAGTCAAGTTGATAATGTTTACTATTAGTTAGATGTGAATATCATTATACATTATGTAGCAAGTGGCAGAACAAGAGTTGGAGGGGCTGGTGACCATACATGTACATGAATATGTTTTATAATAAACAGAGCAGTACATTTTTACTTTGTAAGTCTAAACAATGTGAAGGTAAACATTATGCATTTGCTTAGAAAATGTTATCTGTCTGTATATCTGACTGTGGAACTTGTCCATAAAATCTTGCGAAAACTGTGTCATGTTTTTTAGATCCCGTTCCGTGAAGCCCACGGGATGTCAGGTGCAGCCGTCCACCTGGCGGAGACCAAGAAGTGCCAGCTGAGCGACCTGACCCTCGCCGACCTGCAGACCATCAGGTAGGGAACAGCGCCACCTGGCATTCAGGTGGTGTAGTGCAGGTCCCACCACAGGGTGTAGCATTCTGCAATGTACATGTATACTGGTTCCTCTGTTGTTTTTGCTGTCACACAACTTTATATACAGTTCTTGTATATTGTATGTAATGCTTAGATCTTAAAATAGCACAATGTGTCTATATGAGAATTTGGCCCTATGGCAGCTGTAGCTAGGATGTTTTCATATAGATATTAACTATTTTACTGATACAATGCCAGAAAACAGTTATTCAAGCAACTGGATATAATTTTGGAAAAATTCCAAAATCATATCCAGTTGCTTGAGTGAATGTTCTTGGCATATCTTATTAGCTGGATGTCCATTCCCTTCAATAACACATTTTACAACTGTTACTTCACACACTCACTCACTATGCGGTTTATTGTCTGTTGTTCCCCATCTTCTGAGGGTTAGACATGCTTGCACACTGATGTTGAGACTTGATGGTAGCCCGCCATTTGCCTCTGTCCTTTGAATTGATGTTCTGTATCTGTATTTGTTTAGCCGGTCACGGGTATAACCGCCTTTCGGCGTAACACACCAGCTTCGCAGGCACGCGGCGCGGCGGCAGCTGGCTATATTACACCGATCGACTTGTTACACCTAACCCTTGAGCTTCTAGCTCTAGACATTGTTTAAGGCTATCTATTGACAATGCCCCTACTGTACTTGGTGACAGTGAGTTCTACTCTGCGATAGTTCTACAAAAGAATGAATTCTTGAACACCTCAATCCTTGGTTGATAACTCTGGTACAACTTATGTCCTACTTGTGTTGGAAGTTACAGTCTAAATGTTTCATATCATTTGTTTGTTTGTTTGTTTGTTTGTTTGTCTCCACAGCCCAAAGTTCACAGCTGATGTGGAGAAGTTGTGGAACTATGAGAACAGTGTGGAACAGTACACTGCTGCGGGGGGGACCAGCGGGGCGTCCGTCATGCACCAGATACAGACTCTGGACGAGTGGCTGGCGCACATGAGAAACAAGTGTGTTTGTTTGTTTGTTTGTTTGTTTGTTTGTTTGTTTATTTTATTCAGGTGTACATTAATGTTTAAACTGACTGTATCTATGTGGACAGATGGTCACTACAGACGGGATTCTTAGTGCTTGTATCATTGGGGAAAATTATGTAAGGGACCAAATCCAGACACTGGGCGAGTGATTCGCTCACATGAGAAACAATTTTGTTTGTGTGTTTGTTTGTTTGATCTACATTAGTGTATTACATTGTATAGTCGAATTTATTTAAATTGTACATTATGTAAATAGAACTACAATTTCCAAAACTACAATGTACTCAATTTACATGTATGTGACTGTACAATGATTTTTTATTTATTTTCCCAAGCACTAAGGATGCTTTGTATAGTTCAATCTGTCCACATAGACCAAAATTTGTTGGTTCTATCACTTTGTTGAATTCTATGCCTCAAGGTGTCCACCATCCTAACATGTTTTCTTTTTCCCTTTTTTGTTACCCAGGTCACACACCATGAAGTCCAGAATGGAGATGGACGTCACGCTGAACTAACTGCTGACACAGGCGTGTTTGCTGCAGTAATCACTCTGAACAGGTGGGGGCGCTGCTAACACACGGATGTCAAATCCTGATCATTGTCCCAGCAGAAAACTGTGCTGTCCGGAAATGAGGTAGACGAGCTGCTAGATAACTAGGGAAATACAAACATTGCTCCTTTGTGCCTGTTTTAGCTTAGATTTCAAAGTCTGTTTCAGAATGTAGTTAGTGAGGTGGTAGTTAAATCATGGCTTTATATAGAGAATTGCTATAATTATCAGTGTTAGAAATACCCATCTGCAGTCTGCATTTGACAGATTTTCAATATTGCAGACCGAAGAAAAATTAAGCAACCTGCAATATTTTGCAGAACGAAAAAATTAGGCTAGGGGTTCAATGGTGTTTAATAATTAAGAGCTTTTGTGTTTACTCCTGACTCCATAATATACAAGTAACTTTGCATGTAAAATGTTTGCAAATATGCAATTTTGTGTAATGGGTTTAATCTAAATCCGGACTTTTAATTGTGTATTTGCAGAAAGTATTTCTGAATTGCAGAATAAAATCTTGACATTCTGCAATATTGCAGCACACTGAAAAAAAATGTATTTCTACCACTGATTATGATGTGAGGGTGTGTGCCAAATGTGGAAATGTGCAACTTCTCTGTTGTAATTGCAATATTGTCGACCATGGAAACCCCCTGTCGTCTTACATGGTCTGCCCCAAGCTGTAGATGCCCTCGTGCCATTGGTCAGTCAGAGCAGACTGTACCATTAAGATATACAAACAGGATATATGGGACCACTGACGTTTAAATCTGGTGTGTGTGTAATGTGATATTTGTGATCTAGGTGACTGACAGGTCACATGACCAGGTACTGACCAATCAGGTGTGTTACGTACACGTTGCAGTGTGAACCAAGGTAATTTCAGTGAAGGTATCACATGACAGTTTATTGACCAATCAAAAGTGTGGAATAGGATGAGGTGTTATACATTGTATCAGAATTTTGTGCAATGGACTGTTAGCCATCATATGTGAGACCAGAGATTTGATATTAATTGTTAGATTAATTTGTTTAATGTTGCTATGAGGAAACATGATCATGTTTGTGTGATTTTGTGTGCACTTTCATGTAGTCCTTTTAAGCTGTTAGAATTGTTCATGAGAATAGTACTACATGTATTATGGTCCCTACAAAATGGCTTGGTTGTTACAGAATGGTTCTTAGAATGTAATTATTCAGAGGGAACAAAGTAGCCTGGGTGCCATCCGATTTGTAACTGATTTTTTGGGGGTTGACTTTACAAATCGGATGGCACCCAGGCTAGGAACAAAAACAAGACATTGAAGACAACAAAACAGCGATGACTTGTAAGTAAGACTTGTATTGCAGTCTTCTGTGTGGCTTTAGGTTGTTTCTGCACTTCTTTCTGCTGAGATTTTTACGTCGTCCTAATGGTACAATGTCAGTTTTTTTCAGACATATGAAAGCTAAAAAAGGAACAGAAACAAGCAAAGCCACACATCTCTCACTAGTCCAAACTACACCAAGTTTCTCTCTCACAGTCTTGTGAGAACGTCACAATTGTCTTTTAGTCCAATCTCTCATCGCACATTTGTTATTACACTACTGTAGTACATCATGTAAGTAACAAAACTATGTTCTATTTGATAAACTATGGCCTTGCCTGAGAGCAACTTGAAAATCATTTAGTCCTCAGTTTCAAATTTAGACTATACTCATTGTTTTAAGTTCTTAAAACTTTAGGTGTAAAAAAAAATATCTCAAATTAACATGAAAGAAACTTGCTGGAAAAAAATTCAACATTTCTACAATTCCACCACATTTTTATGGCTGTAGAGTCAGTTCACACACAAGTCTCCTCTGGAGGAACTCTTGTTGTATCCAGAACCGTACTTTATCCAGAACAAGACAGTTCTGGATATGCGCATGCTTGTCCTGAACCATGTCTTGGGCAATCCACATTCTTGGATGTGCAGAGACTATCCAGAACCATGCCTGATCCCAACCCTAACCCATTCAGGCATATAGAACTAGATAGGCATGGTTCTGGATACAATAGAGACTATCCAGAACCATGCCTGACCCTAACCCATTCAGACTATATAGGCATGGCTCTGGATACAATAGGGACTATCCAGAACCGTGCCTGATCCTAAGCCTTTCAGGCATTATAAGATCTAGGTTCTGGATACAGTACAAGTCCCATTAGGATGAACTCTTGACCTCCATCTTGTCCTTGCGTCCCTTCTCGAGCGACCTCTGCACGCTCTGCCTGGCCAGGGTCACCGCCAGGTGCACCTGGTGGAGCCAGGGTTTCTCCTTGAAGGTGTTTGCGATGGCCATGCAGCCGACCGCCTTCTCATGTGCCGTCTGTCCACGGTACAGCTCAAACAGCGCCAGCGTGCTCTTACGCATCTCTTCCGTCTTAGAACGCCGGCGGATAAACGACTTTTCAAGGGCGGGTAGAGGTAGCGGCTCCTCGGTCTTTGACCTCTGCTTGCCCCCAAGGTCGTCGGGTTGACCTTCGGCCTGACCTTGACCCAGTTTGGGCAGCAGGAGAGGCAGTTTGTCCTTCCCGGTCTCAATGAAGTTCCCGGTCGCCCCTCCTGATGCCCCCTCCTCCTGACTTGGCTCTGCGCTCTGCCCGCCTTTCAGTTTACCGAGCAGAGATTTCAGTTTGAAGCGCCCCGCGGCGGGCGCCGCCGGTACTGCAGCGTCTGCCGGTGAGTCTTCAGCGCCTGACGTGTCCTGAACTTTCCCTAGAAGCTTTCCTCCGAAACTTGGGGAAGGTTTGCTTTCTTCAGGCTTGTCCGCGGCCTTCCTTAGCCCGGCTAGTTTACCCATGAGGCCCCCGGCAGGTTTGGGTGTTGGCGCATCTTCGCTGGTCGATTCTGACGCAGTTTTCGCAGCGCCAAATTTCATCGCCAGTTTTTTAGCCCCCGAGGAAGCAGCACTTTGTTCTGGTGGCGACTCGTCGGTGGCAGCGGGAGATTCCTTCTTGCCCAGCAGAGCCCGCAGTTTGAGTTTTTTAGCGCCCCCTGGTGGGATGTTTGGGAGCTGCATCTCCGCGCTGGAGTCTGTCTGGGCGAAGCTGCGTTTGGGCGTGACGGATTCGGCGTCCTGTTCCCGGATTAGCTTCTCTTTGTGCATCGTTAACAGTGTCTGGGCAGGGGGGTACAAACATATTGCAACATGAGCACATTGCATCATGAATACAAAGTTGCAACATTGACACATTGTAACATTCACACCTTGCAACATGAACACGTTGCAATTTGGACACATTGCAACATGAGCACATTGCAAGATGAACACATTGCAACATGAACATATTGCAACATGAACACATTGCAACATGAGGACATTGCAACATGAACACATAGCTGCATTAACACATTTCAACATGAACACATTGCATCATGGACACAATGCAACATTCACACAATGCAACATTCACACGTTACAACATGAACACTGCGACATGAACGAGAAACGGAATCTCTCATACCCTCTGTGAAATATTTTCACGTTTTGTGTGTTTTGTTATCTTTAAAACCATACTAAGTCTTAAATCGTTGTAAATCATATTCCACTTATAAAATCAAGGGTCACGCAGATCCAATTTTGGTGGCTCTGTATAGGTAAGGAAAGGGTTGAACTGAAAGGTGTGAATGCCATGCCTACCTTGCTGAACCTGCTGGTCAGCACCGGCATAGGCGGGAGTTTGCTGGACGCTGCCATCGACTTTAAGGCCTGCTGACGCATCTCGGCTTTCGTCTTAGAGGTCATCTGGCTGGAGGTGAATCCGTCGACGTTGACCCCCTGCCCGACCAGCGCGCCCTTGTGGGGCGACCGCTTCAGGGACGTGGCCACTGAACCCTTCTGGAGGAACACCTGCGGAGGGGGGGGGGCATAAAATAGAGGGTCAGACATGTGAAAGGTAAACAGCTTTGACACAGTTTTGGGACCAGTTTTTCTTCTTTTTTTCCCATCATTTTATATCCTTATATACATGGCCTCGTGAAACTACCTTTAGACAAATGAAACAAAATGTCAGTACTGCCAACTATGCCCCTGCAACTCTGTACTGCCACTTGCTACATAATGTAACCGGCAACACTACTACTACTAACACTATTATAGGTTGTCTGCCACCACACCAGGTACCTAGTAGGCAGTCAACGGTTACAGGAGGCCAGTGGATACAGGCAGCCAATATACAATATTATATACATGTAGACTCCGCTTGCCATGGTGACAGCCGTCTGGTCCAGGTCATTGACATTGTTTTGTTTCGAGAAGAAGAAGAAACAAAGCAAAACACTATTTTCCTTCTGTGAAGGTATTTAACATTATCTGTATCTGTATAGCCGGTATAATTGCCTTTCGGCGTAACACACCAGCTTCTGTATCTGTATAGCCGGCATAACCTCCCTTTGGCGTAACACACCAGCTTCTGTATCTGTATAGCCGGCATATCCGCCTTTCGGCGTAACACACCAGCTTCACAGGCACGCAGCGCGGCGGCAGCTGGCTATATTACACCGATCGACTTGTTACACCTAACCCTTGATCTTCTAGCTCTAAACATTGTTTAAAGCTATTGACAATGCCCCTACTGTACTTGGTGACAGTGATCATCAATACGTACCCGTTCCCTGGACCCCTCTGCCCAACGCCGCACCTTGGCGTACATGTTGATGGACAGGGAGATGTTGTTGATGGTGACCGGGCTCCAGTACTTGCTGATGAGGTAGATGGCCGCCTCGCGCTTTCCCGCCAAAAGCGCTACGGACAGCGGGTTCTTCCCCTGGAACTTACAGGCGAGGCAGCTGGGGTTGTATTGGATCATCACTCGCAGGACAGACACCTAATGTAGAGACACAAGGTATGGTTAGAGGTAAGGGCTTGGTAAGGGTTAGGTACTAGTTTGAGCCTTGGTTTAAGCAAGCTTCTTACTGTGTATTACTGTTATTACTGGCGAGGCAGTTGGGGTTGTATTGCATCATCACACACAGGACCGACACCTGAAGCAAAGAGGTACGGTTAGAGTAGCCTGATTGAATCGCTTTACGGTTGCCGGCCGCCCAACATCCGAAGGGCCAGTAAAGCCGTGGACGGCAAAGTTTGCTACGGTTAGAGCAAGAAGGTTAAACCTCCTTGGTTAGAAGTAAGGGTTAGGTACAGTGGGTTTAGATATATACTGGTGAGACAGCTGGGTTGTACTGGATCATCACATGCAGGACAGACACCTGGCGACACAGAGGTACGGTTAGAGGTAAGCTCCACAGTACCTGTCCCGTTACTTTGGGTAAGGGTTAGATCAAGGCAATTTTGATGCAGGCCGCATGATTTTCAGGCAGACACAAACGCTTCTACACGTACACACACACACACAGACGTACGCACACATACACACACACAAGCCAACTGCACCTAGGTCTGTCCTGAAACAGAGTTAAAGGTTCCCGTACCTGTCCTGCCTCTGCCGTGTGGTGGCGTGGATAGCGGGCTGGATGGCCAGCGGGTGCGAGGCCTGGTCACACCACTCCCAGAACAGGTGGGTTAGGGTTAGGGTTAGAGGAAAGTTTTACCGTACCTGTCCCGTTAGAGCTAGATTTTAGGGTTACAGTAAGGGCTGCCTTACCTGTCCAGTCTCGGCCGTGTGGTGGATAGCGGGCTGGATAGCCAGCGGATGGGAGTCCTGGTCACACCACTCCCGAAAAGGATGCATGCCGACCGGCTCGTCAGGCTTGGCGCCGTACTTCAGCACCGAGGTGGCCAGGTCCGCGTGCCCGTAGTGTCCAGCGATGTACAGGGCCACCTTGTACTGGTACCTGCAGGAAGGAGTGAAGGAATAGGGGAATGAATTAAATGAAGGAAGTAAGGAAGGAATGGATGGATGAACAAAAAAATGAAGGGATTAACAAAGGAATTAACAAAAAATGGAGGAATCAATGAACAAATGGAGGAATGAATGAATGAATGGGAAAATGAATGGACGAAGAAATGGAGGAGTGAGTGAATGATCAAATGAATGAATGGGAACGTGAAGGAATGAAGGAACAAAAGGAGGCATTAATGATCGAGAAAAAGGAAGGAAGGAATGAACAATTGAAGGAATGAAGGAAAATGAGAAAAATGAATGAACAAATGAAAGAACACATGGAGACATGAATGAAGGAACAAATGGAGCAATGAATGAGAACTCTGCCGCTACGCCACACGACCCCACGAATGACTATTGAACCCACCTCTGCACCATTTCGTTCTCGGCCACCTGCAGTAGAACCCTCCCGGCCTGCCCTGCGGTGGCGGCCTGCAGAAACTCCGTCCAGCCGTCCCACGTCTCCATGCGCAGTGTCGCGCCCAGCTCTACCTGTAACGTCAACATCAACAACATCAGCATCATCATAAACCTGTAACAGCAACATATACATCAGCATCTTCATCATATACATCAGCATCTTCATCAGCCTGCAGAAACTCCGTCCAGCCGTCCCACGTCTCCATGCGGAGCGTCGCTCCAAGTTCTACCTGTAACATGAACAAAAGTATAAACATCTGCATCGTAAGCGCGCAAGACACACACACACACATGTACACGTATGCGCGCACGCACACACACACGTACATACACATACACAAACACATATATACACACACCACACAATCACACACACACATGAACACATACACACACATATATATGATACACAGCACACACATACACATATACACACTACACATAATGACACACACATACGCAGGCACACACACTCACACACACATCCACAAAAATCACACACACATACATACATACACATCCACGCAGACACACACACACACACATCCAGACACACACACACACACATGGCTACACAGTACACACACACACGCGCGCGCACACAATGCACACACACACACACACAAATCCCCTCCATACCTTATAGAAGTCGAGGCTGTTACAGTCGAACATCTCCCTCCCGCCGGGCGCCAGGAGCCTGTAGATGCCGACCGGCAGCCCGGTGCGGCGCGTCACCAGACTCCGCACCTCGCTCACCGTCCCCGACACGAAGTTTATCTTGTCCAGGAAGGTCACCGTCTCGCCGTTAAACGCTGCAGGTACAGACAAATTTCTCACGTTAGAGATTACGTCTTGATTGTATTTTTGTGGTGCCGCTTTGTATGTGTTTGTGTTATAGTCTACATTGTTTCCACCGCAAACAAAACAAGAGTTCCACGATCTCATACATTCGCCAAATGATGTTAACCCTTGCGGTTGCCGAATTATACAATTTTGATGATTGATTTTGCAAATAATTTGCCCCATTTGCATGGATTATATCTGTTGATCATATTCTCCACCCAATGACAGCCCTATCTTAACAAATACGAACATTCCATGGAAGGAGGCAGAGTCAGTAGCTGCTGACAAAACGAAGCTTGCTGCCTGATGTGCCATCGGGCACAGGAGGAAGTAAGGTCTAAGGTAAGGATTCTCGTAATATTTAGAATATTTTCAACTCAATCGCAGTACTACACCAAAGGCTCCGCGCCTGTGGCGTAGCCAATAGCACCAAAGCCACCATCCCCAGGATAGGACATTCAATGTGGATCCCGTTTTTTTTTTTTGAGAACCGCACCTTAAGCACGTTAAAGAACCCACCGCACTTACTCGAAAGAGTAGGGGCCCTTACGATGTGAATGCGTGGCTCACACCTTACATATTATCCTTATGTATATACTATTAGGCAACAGAATCTTCAAAAAGTTGAAATCGGTCGCCTCAACAGAAAGAAAGAAAGACGAAGTGAGTCTGCCTCACCTGTATAGACGAACAGGGTGGGTCCGTCCACCTCCCTCAGGGCGCATTTAATGGTCGATCCCGGGAGGATGCCGATATCAGAGAACACCCACTCGTCCTGGAGGGTGGAACCTGGGGGATGAGGGGAAAATTACTTGATGTATTGTGGATAAGAAAGATGCATTGTTAAGGATGGGAAAGGTACACCTGTATCCCATGTGATAATGGTGTACTTTGTAGCGTACAAGGTAGCAAAGTAGCTGGTGTTGTGAGCAGCAATGTTATGCAGAATGTGAAACTGGTACATTCTATACGATACGCCGGAATATACGATAATGCGCTATACAATTATGCATTGTTTTTACAATGGTGTGAATGGTTTGGTGTTTTAGAATTCTATACAATTACCCGAAATACAAATAAGTGGAATCCCCTGTATTACAAATAGTCTCTTCAGGAAGTGTTTTACTTTTATTATATATGTGTGTGTATATAAGCTCGCAGGAGGAGACATTGTATCAACCTACTCAGCCTACTGAAGGGAGACCTGAAGCGCAGAGGGCTAGGCCCTCCCACAACAGAAAAGAAACTCAAGGAGCTTAGAGAGCTCGCGAGGCAGAAGGCACGGTGGAAAGAGATGAAGAAAGACTGAATGCGGCTACAGGACATTTCTACGAGACTGTAGACGCAGAACACAGTGAATGATGAGTGTAAATTTCACGTCTTTTTGTCTTTGACCAGGTACGACATTACACTGTGGGCCCGGACAGAAAATTGTCAGACCTCCTTGCGACAGTACGTCGTATGTCGTAAAACTGTAGCATCTACCAGACACCGCGGATCGCTGGAAAAATAGTAGAAATCGGCCGAAATAAAAGGATACATTGTAGTATACCAGGAGAGGTAGCCGGCCAGAGAAGATCCAAAAATGCGTGGGTCGCGAATTGGATCTTCTCTGGCCGGTTACCTCCCCTGGTATATTATCCCCTTATTTCGGCCGATTTCTACTATTTTTCTAGCGATCCGCGGTGCCTGGTAGAGGCTAGTACATGAATAAAACTGTGGAACGACGCATTTGGCCGTGCGCCTGGCACTGAAACCTATCCACAGTACGACAATGTAGCTGTAACAGTATCACCCGTAGTCTGTACAATACGTACGTGTTGATCTGCGTGTATAACAACAAACGGGAGACAATAGACGATGCTCTGGCCGGGGTTAATGACCTGCAGGTTGAATGGCGGTGGCCTTGACCGTGACGTGCTACAACGTAGGCGCATCATATATACACACCTACAAACTGGACCCGACCCAGGGGCAGGCCCAGACAGAAGTGGCTGGATGTCCTGTCATCAGACCTGAGAGCAGCAGGCTACAACCTAACTACAGCCTGGGCAGCGGCGCAGAACAGAAGTGCTTGGAGGACAGTTTGCCGGGGCGCTACGCTTCTAGGAGCATGCGGACTTGACTGACTGACTGACTGACTGACATGTAGCCGTGCATCTATCTCCGTGTAAGCGTACATTCGTCTAGGAAAGAGACCTAAATCCTAAATTCTACCCTTACAAGAGGAGTGTCCGGATTTGATAATCTCTAAGCAGATTTCATCAGGGACAAGACACTATTATAATTGTTGGCCAGGCCGTAACAAGTTGGACGGGGCCAACTACCTAGTAACGGGCCAACTATACTGTCTTGCCCCCTCCCCAAATGTGCTTGGAGGTTACGGATTTCATCGGATTTCATATGGATTATCAATGGAACTATTCCTTACGTTATCTACATAAGTAAAGATAATGAATAATAATGATAAATCGGTTAGAATGATTTGTAACCGGGAGTTCGCGAGTTCAATCCCCGGCCAGGTCATACCAAAGACTGCAAAAATGGTACATACTGCTTTCTCTGCTTAGCACTGAGCATCTATGAGAAAGAGTATGGGAGTTAAGCACACAACACTGCCAGCGGGCACAACTGTGTGGCCCAAGGGCTACAGAAATGGACATGGGCACCACCCAAATGCTCTGCACAGGGAGTGGAACGGGACCTTTATCTACACATCTACATAAACGGACGTCATACCGCCAAAGTTGAAGGTGTCTGTGTGTGTGTGTGTGTTTCTCAAGACGTTCTCACCTGCGAAGGTCAAGACAAGGAACTTCTTCTCGTGCGTGCCGTCGTCTCCCACCAGGGAGAACTTGTCTCTGATCTCCCGCTTCATCTGCCCCACCGTCACGCCCGTCTCCACGTCAACCGTCAGACGCTCGCGGCGGAACGTCACGAAGATCCGCATCTTCACTTTTCACTTTCACTTTTCAAGACGATTTTTAAAACTTTCACTTTTTTAAAATTTCACTTTCAATGTCACTTTCACTTTTTTGGCCAAAGACTTTTTGTCACTTTCACTTTCATGGTCTAGGACAAATTTCACTTTCACTTTTCAAAAATTTCTATCACACCTTCTACTGCCACTTACAAAGCCGAAGTCTTTACTTTCCAGATCAAATTCACGCGTTACACTTTCACTGACAAAGTCAAGTTAGATTTCTCCTCCCAAGGGTCGCAGGTCAGTACTGTCTACACTTCCAACACAAGAGCGACTGTCCCCACTTTCACTTGCACAGTGAAGGCGATCCTTAGAGGCTCTTCAAGTCCAAGTTTTCGCCACAGACTCCATTCCGCAGCGTCCCGCCATTGTCAGACCCACACGTACAGCGACAGGCTTGTTATTTCCCGTGTGTATCTACTGTTCTGGTCTCCTGGCTAGTGATGTTATTCCGGTCGTCATAGCAACGCCCGTATGGCCCTGCTAGGTTGCTAGGTGCGGTTTCCCGGGTGATTGTCCTCTAATTAACCCGGGATTTTGCTGACGTAGGTTTGACCTTGATGTCCGCACGCGAGGACGACCTTGGAGTCACGTGAGTTAGTCTCTCCTGGCCGCCATTTTTTTGTTTCCTCAGCGTCGGTCGTCCGCTGTTGTTGCCATTGTAACGGGACTGTATGGGGACACAAGAGATTCTGTTAGGCGGACACGTTAAGTTTGGAGAATAATATATTTTCATAAATAATCGAACGGGAGCATCGTCGAAGCGCCACCTACACTGTATCTCCGTGTAAACATCACTTCTTAAATGAGTAGGTTCAGGATACTAGTATATGTGAACATTATCTGTTTTCCTTGTTGTTCATCTACTTATTTGTGACAAGGAGGTTTTGTGTGGGCTGTCACTGAGAAAACGTGACTATCTTTTACAACAACGTCTAGTCTATGTCTGAATGAGTTATTATAGGGTTAGGACCGGGTACTGCTCTGGATGGTCTCTGTGTATCCAAGAACATGGATTTGCCCCAGGCACGGTTCTGGATACGCGTGGACTGTCAAGAACCATGTCTGAGCATGGTTCTGGATAAAGCACGGTTCTGGATAGCCTCTACCGGGCTTCGGGAGGCGGCTGGAAAGAGTAGAAATTGGCCAAATACAGAGATAACATGCCAAGGGAGTTGGTCCGATAGAAAGTACATTTTTCTGCACACTCTTATCTCTCTATTTGGTCAATTTCTACTCTTAAATTTCCGGCCGCCTCCCGAAGCCTGGTAGAGGCTAAGTTCTGTATACAACAGTCGCCCTGCGAATATTGGTAGGATTGGGCAACATTGATCACACATGCCAGCCAGAGCCGCGCCTGTTCGCACCTCTAGCGGGTAGCATTGGCGTTTGTCGGGCGGGAAAGCGCACTTGACTCGGTACTTGGTTAAGATCACAAACGCGCGAGGAAAGTTGTTCCAGCAGAGTCCGTGCGTGTTATACCAGCCGGGAATGTCCCCTTACCACTCAGGCGAAGACCGGTGAGGGACTCAAAACTCTCATTAGCAGTTTTCAGTGATAGGAAACTCTCCTAGCAGACGTTTGGGCTCCGGCGTATTCTTCATGCGTATTCAGTCTTTTTATTGGGCTTTATTTTTGGTACTGGTATCTTTTTTTCGGGTTCCAAATGGTAACTGTTCTGTTCTACTTTCCTGCAACCAACGAAGGATCTGCTTGGGGATTTAAGGAAGAGCATTTGTTGCGTTTTATCATGAAAGTTCATCTGTGTTGGTATTTATCATAGCAAAATGTAGAACTTTATTCCAACACAACGAGCAATTTTTCAACGACCACAGTTCAATCGCCTACATCAGAATAATTAATGATTTGTTGCGTTTCGTTTTTGTCTATCATACTCGTATCATCCTCTTATACCATGAATCATATTTTGAAAATCATCTTGGAAATCCAATTTTGGTTGGTCTACGGTCTTCATTCAGTGGAAATAATACTTGTCTCGGAACTTATTGAAGATCACACACGCGTGCAGAAGTCAGTTCCAGCCCCGCCGCGCGTGTTGTACCAGGCGGTAACGCACCCTGCGCACAGAGGACGCCTTTTCTTACCTAGTCTCTGTCTCCAGCACGGGTCAAGTACGGATCACTACACACCCTCAGAACAACCTCACCCTGTTCTATTAGAGGCACAGAATCAACAACTATAAGTGTTTAAGTAAATACAACTTAGACGCCTCAACCCGAGACGTTCTTTCGCCTACATGCCTGGACATACAAGTGGCTAAAACAGACTTCCTAATCTCCAAGCAGATCCTACGGTGGCAAGATGATCCAATCGGCCGAACAGTATCCCTTTATTGATCACCCTCTTGTTCATTAGATGGTGTGACTAGGGGGCTAGCAAAATTAGATTTGTGTGATTTTTGATTTTATTTTGGAATATGATGCACGATATACAAGACATGTATGATTCAAACTCCAAAGGACACAAAACGTTTTTAGAAAATCGTACAAAATAGCCTCTAGTAGTTCAAAGGGGGGGGGGCGGTTACAAAATTGTAGTCGAGCATGTTTCAATTACTAGTATTCGTTGGAAAGGCTATGTAAAAACGAAGACATGATCTTGAAAATTCTACAAGCAAAGTTCTTCAAAATCATCATCAAGACAAGACAGGAGTAAAGAAACTACAATACACAGGCAAGTCTTTAGGTGCAAAAATAAAGCTTACTAATAGGGAAATCATCACGCTTCGACTTCGACCCGATATAAACTTTACGGTTCGCACAGTCACAAGTTGAGATCTTAAATACTCTTGAAATATGTGAAAACGCATTTCCAGTGTGAAGTACTCTGTGTTCGCGCCAAAACTCGCACGTAGGGACGGAACGATTGGCGCGTTTGACGTCACTATGTCGTTTGATTTGGCAACTTCTGACATCGATTGTATCGACTCTGCGGCGTAAACTTTACCCGCCACACGAGTGTCGAGTTTCAGGCATATCGCTACACACTGTAAACATCCTGAACAATCGCAACTATGCCCTCCAAGCAGATGTGTAGTCATCGGCTTATTTTTGAAGAGTTTTGAGGCTTTTTGATTGGATTTTCTGTATCTCTAGACTATCTTAGTATAGTCGGTATGACCACCCCTCGGCATAACACTCCAGCTTCGCAGGCACGCGGCGCGGCGGCAGCTGGCTATATCACACCGAACGACGGCTTTCTTTTTGTACTGGTGTCTTATTTTTCATTTTTCTACAGCCAAGTATTGAAAATATAGTCAGTAGTGTATTGGATACTGCTCTGCCAATGATACTGCCAACTGTGCCGAGTCTTGCAGTACTAAAAATGTGCCTGGAAATGATTGAACTCAGCACTTCTGAACAACGGTAGAATTTTCAGATTAAGCTCTTAATGTTAGCTGAGATATCCAACCACTGTGTGGCCTTCATAGGTGCTCAAAGCATTGGATACTGCATGTTGATAAAGTTAGACATCGAATCAGAAACATCAAGACTTTTGCGACTTCTAACGTTTTGATAGTCTTCTTGCTAACTACCATAGGTTAGGGTTGGTTCATGGAGAGCAAAAACTGTTAGTATCGGATATGTTTCAGGCGTGCCTCCGGTGCCACACAACTGAGATATCTTAAACAGTGCTAAGTCTAAGCTATGGTCACTACTTGCCTGCTGCCAGGGACACTGCAGTTACAACTCGGCATCCTGACGTTTGCACCTAGAGCCGCAATGTTAGCTTCAATGTTGAACTTTTCCCTACCTACGCTGACACTGTCCACTAGTGGCCTGAAAGTTAGACCACGTATACCTGTCTAGTGAAATTCCTGCACAGTCACTGTGCCCATAGGAAAATGCATCATAGACTGTCTATATATAACTCTTCTAGTATGGTTAACTGTGCTATATACTTGCATATTATCACTTGAAAAGTGGCAGTCTTTCCGCGAACAGCACCTCCCTCCCTCTCGTTCCTTACCTTAACACCTTAGCCTCAACACAGCAATTTCTGATACTTGAACAACGGATACGTTTCAGGCTATTACTATATATATACTGCATTACATATTCCATCCCCTGCATAGTCTCTCGATAACTTTGAACACTCACCCTTACCGTTCCTACCTGTTATCAGCCACAAAGTTTTTCTGCGAGCACTTGACAATTTTCTCTGCACAACGTTGTGGCAATGAACTGCCTTAATACATACATATCTGTTCCGTCCTAAGCACATTCTTTCAATCCTATTATCCTCCAACGAGTTAGTACGATGCCTGATGCCACTACAATGATCATTTCTCACCTCTAAACGCCTTCTCTTTCCCTCCTTCTCTCCCGTTCTCCCAGCTATGACCGCTCAGCCTGGCCGTAACTACCGCAAACAGAGGCGCCGCCCGCGCAACCGGCGAACCCTACACCTCCCCCGGTCCTCCCGCTTTTGTAACCACACAGCTCCCCGCTCGTCTTCCGTTTCACACAGCGGTCTTTCACCCGCGCTTCTACCGTAAACACCTGGAGTAGGTTTACCTGCCCGCTCTCACCTGCCCAGCTCAGGTGTACTACCTGCGGGATCACCTGTCTGACTACCTGTGATTGTCTCCTTTCAGTTGGTTACAAAGAACTAAGGTCGGGGGATAGTTTGACACATTAGTGGGCTGAAGAGATATAAAGATCCTTTATGTCACTGTAATCCGCAATCTTGTTAAAATTATTTTAATCTATGTTGTCTGCAAAGCCTTTAAAACTCCTCATCTCTCACGGGGAATTCTGTTTTAAGTCGTGGATCATGTTTTAATGACTTGAGGGCGGTTTGGGAATGTTTGTCACTATAAACATACGGAGTTTGAGTTAATGTAGCACTATGAGGACAAAGAAAAGGAATGGTTAGAATACTAGACTTCACTACCTAACCCATATATACTACTTCGCGAATTCCCAGTCCCATAGTCATAACATTAGCAGCACTGACGAAGTATGGTAATGCTGTATTGTGTAACGTTATATTTGGAGCCACAAAAACACGCATACACAAATAAACAAA